CCGCGGGAAGTCTGCTTCTCCCCTCCACTCATGCTTGCTCTCGCTCTCTCTCAAATGAATAAATGAAACCTTTAAAAAAAAAAAAAAGCTGATAAGATCCCCCCCTACTTCAGAACCTACTGGACAATGTGCTATCAGTTACCAAATACCGATTTATTCAAGAACCTCTGTTCCACAATGCTGGGCTTAATGCTAATTGTTCCCTTTACCTGAAGTAATGAAATGGTACTTTTTTAGAGTTCTAGATGCAGGCTTGTCGGTAACTCAGACAGACTTTCGCCTGACTGGGTCTAAAGGGGTGAGATTTCACTATGAAATCCGTTCATGATCCTTAACAGCTGCCAGTGTGTGGTTTCTGGAAGGTGGGATGGGCAACAGCATCTATTCCTCATCTCAGGATGTGTTTTCCCGGAGGCATGACGGGCTCGTCACAGCGCACCCCCCACCCTGGAGCGGGAGCACCAGTAACAACACTGAAAGTCACCTGCTCTGGCCGTGACTTGCACATCCCAGCACGGTCCCCTGCGTGGACCCCTCCGGCCCCCCGTGGCCACTCTCTGAGCTCGGGCCTGTATTGGCACAATTTCCATCAGCCCCGACCTGCCTGTGCCCCCCCATCCCATGCCCAGGCCCTGGCCCTCGTGTTCTGTGGGCTTCAGGGCAGGAGGGCACATGGACTCTCCTATCTGATCCATCATCCCCAGCTCATGCAGACAAAAAAAAAAAAAAAAAATCACAACAACCATGAACACGGACATGGCGACCAGGTTTTACCTGGACTCCAGGATGGGAGTTGTTCCGTCTTCGCCAAATGAAAAAAAATCTGACGTTTCAGACCCAAAACTGCCTCAAGCAAGGACACGGGGCCTCTCCCTCACCGTCTGTTCTGGAAGGTGCTGAGGAGGGTCCCCCTTGACCCACACCCCTTCTTCCTCCTCGTTCCACCTCTCTCAGCCACAGCTGGGCGCAAGCGTCTCCTCAGGCCACTTGACACGCAGCGTCAGACCCGGAGTGTGGCCAAATGCCAAGGTCGAGCCTGCCCTCTGCCCTGACCCTCCTCCCGCTCCACGCTGTGCCAACGGCTTCCTGAGGGCCCCAGCTGAAGGCACTGCCACTGGGGTGGGCAGGAGCAGCCAGGGAAGGGAGACCCCCCCCACAGCACACATCTCCATGGCAACCACACACACTGGCCGCCCAAGGAGCCGCGGAGAAAGGAGGGACTTTAACAAACCACACAAACACCCCCACGCCACACCCTGCATGCGTCCTTCTGGGAGAGCACCAAGGAGACCATTCGGCAGAGCGAAAAAGGATGCAGGGGAACAAAGACATTTAGGCAGGGGAGCGGGCTCCGTGTTAACCACCGGCAAGCCCCACCGGAGCCACAGGCCATAAAACCGTGGCACAAAGCAGTCGATTCCTCTGTGACCGCTCAGACCCGCAGTCTGGAGGCTGCGGAGGTAAGGATGAGTTTGTGGCAGGTTTCATCAGAAAGGACAGAACATCATTTATACGCTATGATCCCAGCTCTAAAAACTGCGCGTACATTTGGACAAAACCTGGAAGGGAAAACGTACACGTAAAAACACCTGTGCTGGAATCACACACTAGGACCCTGCCCCTACACTACCCTCTGTGGTCTGTCCTGTTGTTCTGACAACTCAACAGAATGTTGTTGCTTCTTGTCAGGGGGCAGGGAAACGCATGGGGCCCTGGAGAACGTGCACCATCCACTGAGGCATGGGTTTGTCTGAGGAGCGGAACACCTTGCGGTCCTGCCAGGACACAGGGTGTGGGAGGCTGCAGGGAAGCCTCCGGGAGAGCGTCTCCCACTAGCCCCCGCGGCTCCCCTGGGAGCTGTCCCAGGCCAGACGGTCTCTCATCGGATGAGGTGGGCTCTCTGCCTGCCCCCAGCATAGCACCGAGCCTCAGCACTGGCTGCTGGCGTCCCATGACTCCCACCGCAGTCTTCTAGACCTTTTTGTTAAGTGTCCTCCTTTTCGGTGTGTGGGACAAGGACCCAGGGGAGCTGGGCGCCCCTTTGGCATGTCCTAGACAGGACCCCGACATTCTGTTTCCATAAAGCAACAGTAACGTCCAAGGAATGGGTGCGTATGTACAGAAATCTGTTTCTATGGTGGTATAAGCTGGATCATTTTCATAATGAAACAGGAAAACAGAAAACACACACACCTATACGCTCACTAACAGATACACTCACCGACCAGGAAAATGGGGCTATGCAAAGCTAATTAGATCCAGGAGCCTTGGATTCTGGTGCTGGCCCCATTGCTAGGTCTTATCTTAAGAAATTCTCTTCCCCTCTCTGGGTCCCCATTTTTTTCCTTCTGACAACAAAGGAGGGAACGGGCCCAGCCCCAGAAGTGCTGTCTGCACGGCGCCTGTGTTCACAGAGACACACTTGAGGACCTGCCAGGCCAGGACATGGAGGGCCCAGGTGCCTCCTTCTGCTGAAGGGAGTTACAGGGCAGCAAGAAGTCAACGGAACAAAGGCACATTACTTCGAGTGCCCAACAGAAGCTGCTCAGACACCTGCCTGCGTCTCCAACTGCTCCCCACAAGCGCAGAGGAAGCTGTGTGTTTACCCACAACAGGAGTGGTGCAGGCCCCTTGGGGAACAGGAATGTGCAGCACGCACTTTCGAATGGAGTCTCTGTCCTCATTCCTACAGCAGCTTTTGTTCTAGGGCCTGGCCTGCCGGCACCCACGCCCCAGAGAGTGTGGTTCACAGTCTACGTGACAGCATCGGGGCCTGCCGAATTCAAGACAAAGCCATTTCTTCCTGCTAGGAGAACAGGGAAGGCTTCCTGGAAGAGGAAGCCTTTGAGCTGGGCCCTAATGGCTGGACAGAACTTAAATGTATGAAGTGAGTGGGGAGAGCAGATTCTAGGGGGCAGTGTGATCAGAGATATAGAGGCGGAAAAGAGAGTTGTTTGTGACAAATTATAGGAAGCATTACGACAAAAAGCAGAACACAAGGGCTTAGATGCTAGACCAAGAAACCCCCAACCAGCTGTGTTTTCCTTAGGTGTCTGTGTTTGTCATCCTTTGAAGATAAATTCAACCCATTATGGAACTGATAGTTAGTCACGTGCCGACGGACTCACTGGTACTCCCCCTACCCCTGAGAAACTTTCTTAGTTCAAGTGGCAATTGCTCACGATGAAAACCAGCTTCTACATAATATTTTCTTTTTCCCTGGAAAACAGCAGATATTGAGAAAGAGTTGCAGGAGCCAAAAAGGAAAGATAATTTTCCAGAAAGAGGAAGGATCACAACTCTTGCCCAGTTAAGACTCAGACAACATGGTCAAAGATTTAATGTCACTCATCAAGCTAAGGCGGGAACCAGTAAGATGTTACCACGGGGACAGTGCAAAGAGCCCCAGCTACGAAGGCGCTGGAAGTGCTGAAGTAAGTTCACTTTTAGTTGAAGCAAAAGCAGTCTCCCCAGGGCCACAATCAGCTGTGTCTCCGGTAGGCACAGTGTGCACTGTTAGGGACGAGCATCGCGTATGCTCTGCTCTCAGGACGGTACAACCCACGCAGATGGCATGGCTCAGAGTCAAGGAGAAGCCAGGGACCCAAAGAAACCGACCCCCAGACAACGCCGACATGTCCGCTGAGGATGCTCAGCAGACTTCTGACCCCTTTCAAAGGCTTTTACAATTTTCCCTACAAAGGTGAATACCGATCGGCGCACCAACCGTCAATTCTCGGGCACGCGTTTATGGGAAATCGCAGTAAGGACCGAAGGAGGAAGTTTTGAACCCGGGCATAGGCCTCGCAGTCACCGCTGGGCAGGCTGGGGGGCAGCTCCATGCCCACCTCGTTATCTTTACCCTGGGAATCAGGAGGCTCCCGGCTATGCCACAAAACAGCGGAAAGCAAATCCCTCCCCACTCCTTTCTCCAGAGGCGTCTACACTGAAGGGCTTGGCACTGAGCCGGGAGCTCAGGCCTGACCACACCCTGGAGTCACTTGAGGAGATATGAACAGTACTCTTGCCCACTCTAGACATTCCACCCCTAGAGCTTCCGATTCTGCTGGTCGGGGTGGGACTGGGGCATCGCGGGCTCTTATAATAATCTCCGAGGGGATTCTAATGAACGGCCAGGATCGAGAACCATGGGGCCAGATAACAAGACCCCCTTGTCCCTGATGACACTCTGGCTTTGTTGTAATGTTTCCTTTGAATCGATAGCTGCGGCCTCAATCTAGAAATCAGCAGGACATTCTCCTAAAAAAGCTCCTCGAAATGAATCTTTAGGAGAGACCATAAAAGACAAGCTCAATTCCCGACTCGGTCAGACTCGGCAAACATCCGGCTACGTGTTAGAGTCTTCCACGGTGGTTGCCGTCAATTCAACGAGCAGTTTGCAGGGCTGAGCACGGGCTGAGCACAGGCTGAGCTCAGGCTCCTAATTTGCTGCTTCAGTTACTGCGTGTGTATGGGATAGAGATGCCCATCGGGGGTGCTCACAGGCCCGGACAGCTCTGTGGTGTGCACACACGGGCATTCATGCACGCACTCACACTTCACACGCACAGAGCAGCCTCCAAATCAGAGCGGGGTCACAGAGTGATCACAGGGCCCCCGTTAGTAACGCTGGGTTGGCTGGTCCCACGGTGGGGGAGGTAACTGACAATAGGACAGATGGTGGTGAATCCCAATGCTCTCCCCCCCACAACCCTTCTGAGACCTCGGATACGCATTAACAAACCTGATGTTGTTACAGTTTGCTTTGAACCCACTCATTACCAAGGTCGGCCCCAGACAATCGCTGGTACTCTGGTCAGTCCCCTTCCTCTGACGGGCCTTGTGCTGCGACTCTAAAGGACACGGACCTGCCCTGCTGTGGGACCATGGGAGGCCTGGGTCAAGTGTCTCCAGGAAGAATTCTCTTCCCTGTCCAACCTTTCTCGGTCCCCAAGTTCCTCGACCCTCCCCCCATGCTCCGAGCCTCCACACACACTTACTGCAGGCCGCACAGGTGAAGCACGCGTCGTGGTAGAGATTCCCCATGGCCTGGCAGGCCTGGCCGGCCCCAAACACCCCTTTGCTGCATTTCACACAGGCTCCTGAAAGGCAAGAACATGCCAGTGAGTCATAAAAAAGCCAATGAACAAAGTGAGATGCCTATCCCTCCCCATAACCAGCCCATCACCAAATCCTGTGGATCATTCCTTTGAGATCTCTCTCTCTCTCGCTCCACCAGGCCGGCCTTCAGGCTCCCCACCCCCGCCACTGTCCTCCGCACCAGCATGATATGATATTCAGAAAATCTTTGCCTTGTCAGCCTACTTCCCAGCCCAAAGCCTTTCAAAGGCTCCCACCATTTATCAGACAACGTCCCAAAAACTGCCCTGTGATTCTAATATGCCAAGCACGCAGGTCAGGCAATTTCAACATTGTTTCCTTCAATTCTCAATGGGAACCAACTGGGTTGACTATTCTCACTTTTTGCAAAAGTATCAGGCCCCCAGCCCCAGGTATGTCAGACCGCAAAGACAGTGCTCTTCCCTGCCCCTCACCTCCACACAAGCCCTGGTGCCCGGCTCTTAGCCTTTGCTCATGGGCTCCCTAGCCGGGCACCCTACACGCACCCTTTGTCCCTTCAAGTCCCCAGGACTCCCTCCCGCTCCACTCTCCAGCTCTGAAGACAACGTGATGGAACAGGCTCTAACCTTTAGCTTCCCACCCACCCGCTTCCCACGTGGCATGAGTTAACCTGGTAACTTCTCTGAGCATCAGTTCTCAATTCGGAAAAAGAGTTTCATTCCACCTGCCCTGCATGTTCCCAGGAGGGGCTGTAAAGGGTGCTCAGCAAACCACCAACTTCCAGAATTGGTTACCTCTGCCCCCAACTGCCGATCGGAGGGCCCGCTCTTGAACTAGAACGCCACAATCTGCTGGCTATGTGACTAGGGCAGATCATCGGAACTCCCTGCTGTCCAGCGTTTCATCTGTGAGATGGGATGATGGCAGCCCCTCGCGGGGTTCCCGGGAGAGAACCCACCCCGAGCGCTCGGTACAGCGCCCGTCACTCAGTAAGCGCTCAATGAGCAGGCACACACAGACATGGATGCAACGGTGCTGCTACATTTGGCTAGAAGGTGCTTCCACTGGGCTCCCAAAGAAGTTCGGGCCCTCCCAGGATCGGACCCTGTGAGTAAGCCGGAAGTCCCTCTGTCCAGACCAACCCAGAATCTCTGCAGCAGTGAACTAGGCTCTGGGCCAGTCCATAGAAAGGAGGGCCTTGGGGCCTCCCTTCCAAAGAACTCCTCCATTAGCCTTAAATGAAAAACATCACTATTATAGAAATGATGCATGAGATTAAAAAAAAAAATTCAGGGAGTAAATATACCAAAATGCAGAGTGGTTTCTTGAGGTTATAAAATTATGGTTGGTTTTACTTCTTTGCATTTTCTCTATTAAAAAAAAAATTCTTACAAGAGCAGGCGTTACTTTATAGCTGAAAAAAGAGTCTAGTGTCAAAAAAGCGTCTGAATATGCTTAAATATATTGTATAACGTTAAGATTTTTGAACACACACACCCTAGCTTCCCCCCAGTGTCCAGCGGGTAACCAGCTTGCGTTCTTGGTCAGAGGGGGCTCAGGCACCCTCTTCTAACTCTGGTTCCCATGGGTCAGGCTGTTCTCAGGCTGCAGATCCCCAGCCTTCTGCCTACAGGGTAGGAAGCCCTGTGTTTCAGAGTTCTATCGATTCAAAGTGATGGACTGAATCACCCTCAAGGAGGTCCAAGCTAACACCTGGTTTGTGAAATGCACCCACACTGACCACACCAGCCTCACAGAGAGCACACAAAGCCAAGGGCCCTAAACTTGCTTCACCAACACTCCCTGGGAAAGTAGGTGAGGCCATCTGTAGGAAGAGTAGGGTGTCAGCCAGGAAACCTAGCTGTCTTAGGAATTCATTCATGGAAAGCTCTAGAGAACAGAAGTAGTAGTTATTGCAGTTCTTCTGATTCAGCATTTTATTATGAAATGTTCAAAGAAGAGAGGTTGAAAGAATCATATAGGACAAACACCCATATACCCCCCCACCCCCATTCTACAATCATGAACATTCTGCTGTCAATCAATCCAACAATCCATCTTAGTTTTGATGCATTTTAAAGCAAGGCAGGCGCAAACAGCAGTCCACCTCATCTCTAAGCATGTCAGCCTGTAAATCACTAAGAGTTCATGATTTGCTTATAGTTATTTTTTCCAAGATACAAATCCATAAACAGTGAAATGCACAAACGATAAGTCTACCATCCAATGAGTTTTTTTTTTAAACTTTTTTTTAAAGATTTTATTTATTTATTTAACAGAGAGAAACAGCGAGAGAGGGAACACAAGCAGGGGGAGTGGGAGAGGGAGAAGCAGGCTTCCCGCGGAGCAGGGAGCCCGATGCGGGGCTCGACCCCAGGACCCTGGGATCATGACCTGAGCCGAAGGCAGACGCTTAACGACTGAGCCACCCAGGCGCCCCCATCCAATGAGTTTTGACAGATGACCTATGTAATGCAAACCCCAAGCAAGATACGGAATATTTCCAGCACCCTAGAAAATTCCCCAGGGCCCTTCCCTTCTATCTTCAGCACATGTGATAATGAAGAAAAATGCTCTCCCCCAAAATATCAACTCCCAGGAACTGGCAAGGTATTAATCATACCATTCTGAGATCCACTTCCAGACCACCCATCCCAAGCCCCCTGACTGACCTGACTCCAGATCCTACAACAAGCAACAAAGACTGCTTTCTTCAGGCAGCAACCGGAGTACAAAGGAGACCATCCCTAGACTGGATGGGACATCAAAGCAACACGGCTCTAATTCTGCTCACGAACCATCCCCGAGGCACATCACCCTTTCCCTGTCAATCACGGTGGCCTCTTGGCTTAACCCACTGTCGCGATGTTAGCTGCAGACAGCGGAGGAGCCGGGAGACCCCTCGGTGTAGGCAGCCTTTCCTCCTGTCCATGGGGTGGGTGCGGGACGAGGGCCGGCCTTCAAGACGGGGCACCAAAGAGCAAAGGCGAGATTCATCTCCTGAGTCCCTGGGATGCTGCCGACTCGCGAAGAGGACGCGGGCTCCTCTTGTTTGGGTCCGGGGAATAAAGTCAGACCCCTCTGCCGTTCCCCGCTCGGAAAGCATCACCAAGTGGCCAAGGACAAGTGCACAGGCCTCTTGGGGCTTCCTGCGACTTTCCCGCCACATGCACGCCAGGCCTTCCTTGCGGCCTGCCCAGCAACGCTCTCCTCTGGTTTCCTCTCCACCTGAGGGCTCTGACACCCCCCCCACCCCCCCCCCCCCCCGCTCGCCTGACTCGGACTCCTGCAGCCCACATCCTCCGACCGCCCAGCAGGGGAAAAAGCGAGGAAGGAAGCTGCTTGTGCTCCCAGCCGTCAGTCACGGAGCGAGGAAGGGCCCATGAGAAGCCAAGTAAGTGGAAAAGTATTTCATCCTTGGGCCTTGTGGTACATGGATAGAAAAGTACTTCACGGGCAGGAAATATGTCTAGTCTTCCTTTGGTAGGAAAAAAGAGAAAAAGGAAATTTAATATTCTAAGGAATAATGCACCAACCCGACCCCGCGCTGGGAGTTTCCATCCAGCAAAGGATCTGCTGTCGCCCCGTTCTCAGACCCAAGTTCTCGAAAGGCACTGAAACTTGCCAAAGGGCACACAGCTGGTACGTCTGCGAGACGGAATTCGAGCCCAGGTTCTAACACAAAGGTTCCGTTATCCCTGTCGGGCTGGCAACTGTGGCGGTTCCTGCCACACTCAGAGGGTGTCCTTCCTCCTCACGTTCAACACACCACCTGCTCGGGGATTCGGACCCAAGCCCAGCCCTGCCCCAGAGCTCCCACGGACCGCCCCGGCCCACCTCCCATTCTGCCCTATCCCTGGCACACAGGTTGTGTTCCCACCTGGGACCCCAACCATGGCCCCTCCTGCCCTCCTGAAGGGACACCCACCCCACAGAGGCTTCTCTGTCACTCGCTGAGAACCAGGCTCCGTCTAGTTGCTGGCCATGGGACGGGGAGCAAGGTGACTGCCCTTGGGGAATGGTCAGCCAAGGACGCAGGAAACTGGAATCTGCCACCTCTGATAGGAGAGCTGACTGATCTCACCTGTGGTCCTACACTGAGTTCACTAAGTGCCCAGGGCTGGGGATGGACTCCGGCTTATGAAATAAGAAGAAACATATACATTGGCCTCTGTCCCCAGTTCCTTTCAATATTTGGTCTTTGACCCCAGTTCCTGACACGATCCCTTGGAATTTCCTGGTGACAGGAGCGTCCTGGATGGGGGCTGGTCACTAGGAAGACCAAGCCATGATTCGAAGCTTGGAACTTTCGCCCCCACCCCCATCCTTCAGAGAGGAGAGAGGGGCTGGAAAAGAAGTTAATGATCCATCATGCCTACATGAAGCTGCCATAAGAAACCCCAAAGCACGGGGTTCAGAGAGCTTCTGGGTTGGTACATGCATCCACATGCCGGGAGGGTGGCACCCCCCCAACTCCACAGGGCAGAAGCTCCTGTGCTCGGGACCCTCCCAGACCTCGCCCTATGCAGCCCTTCATCCAGCTGTTCTTCTTTATCCTTTAGCACATGCTTTATTGTAAAATAAGCTGGTAGACATGTGTCCCTGAGTTCCATGAGCTGTCCCAACGAACGATGGAGCACAAGGAGGGGACCGCTGGGGACTCTGACTTATAGGCGGCCGGTCAAAAGCACAGGTGACCACCTGGACTTGTGATGGCAGCCGATGTGAAGGCAGTCTTGTGGACTGAGCCCTTGGTCTACGGGGGCTGTGCTACCCACAGGTAGAGAGTGTCAGAACTGAATGGGATCTTGGGACGGCCCGCTGGTGTCGGAGAGGTGGTGGGTGTGGGAAAGCCCCCACATCTGGTGTTGGCCCACTGTGAGTGCGAGCAGTAGTGGGTACAGAGAAGAGACAGAAGTGGGTCCTTGCAAGGCAGGGCTCAGCAAGGAGAAAAGGTTACTCGACCCCTCTGCTTTCACGTGGCCCCTTAGCTATAGGATTTTTTTTTTAAAGATTTTAT